GAACGAGTCCCAGTCTGCTCGTTGATAGCAGAGCGATGTTCCAGTGATAGAATGTTCTTTGCAGTGGATGGAGTTGAAGTAGATGCTGACAGATACTACAGCATGATCGGAGATGCCAAGAGGGCAGAGCTGCGTGGCGCTACAGGACTCGGGAATGGAGGTAAAACATAGATCAGCAAAGAAGCCTTACCATTCAGGAAAATGTGTGGGGAAGTCAACTATTTGCGTGAGGGATTGAGAAATTGAAAAAATTAAGGGTTTGTATGCCTGCAAGGTCAATAGTAGCGTTTTTAAGCCACTTAGTATGATGGGCTTTAAAATCAAAAACTTAACATTCTTGCTCGTTTGTATATGATTGTATTAATGTTTTTCTGTTAATATATTTGTTAACTCAATTCTTCTCTTTGTGTCTTTATTTCTGGCCCAAACGAGGCCACAACAATTTGGCAACGAGGACCCTTAAGGACCCTTGGGGACCCCAAATGGACTATGTGAAAATTGTCAATATTGATTCTACTCAATAGTACTTGGCAATCCAGAAAAGGAAGAAGCCGAACGAAAAATGTGTGTCCAACTTACACTGAACTTTTTGAGAATTTAAGTCTCTCGGAGAAAAAAAAAGCACTCGTGATTTTATGAGTGAGTAAGAAATTAAAGTTCTTTCTTTCTTTTTTCTCTCTCTCTCTCTCTCTCTTACATTAAAATATATTTCGGTTTAAACCTTTCAAAAGACAGTCAAACATGGACGAGTTCAAATCTGCTATGCCCGATTTTCTTAATTTCCAATATGTTATACTGAAACACACCTATTCTATCGTTAATAGACTCTCCCAAATATAACAAGTAGTAGTAGTAGCTGACGCCAGGGAGCTCAGTGAGTTGGTGAGTCAGTCGATGTCGGACATTAAAGTATCAACGACCACAACTAGATCGCTGCGTCATTAACTATTATAACAAGTTCCTAACGTTTTTGTATGTCGAACCTTTTTTAGGACCGACTTAGTGAAATAAAAGCCTCCACTGTGAAACTACTCTACAACACAATATGAGCAAGAAAATTAAAGGGAACTAAAATAGCAAGAAAAACAACTGGAACAGCAAAAAAGAATGGAACAACTTCAGTTGGATATACAAAAAGAACGGCTAGAAATTCTAAATCAAACTGAAAAGGAAAGGTTTGAACTTCAAAAGCGAATTGAAGAAGAAAGCCTCGCATTAAAAAAACAAAAGAACAAACGGAAATCAGACAACAAAATCTTGAAGAATTTCTACTTCAAACTCAATAAGAGCAAAGAAATTTGCTTGAACTGACAAACGGCGGCGAATTAGTGAAAACGAAAATGCGTTCTCACAAAACACGATCTGGGGCGCAATAGACAATTTTCTATATTCTCCAGACGAGGATATAACTTTCGCTTCCTATTTTATAAGGTACGAGGATTTATACTCCACAGATTGTTCGAACTGGGCAAACTCTAAGAGGGTTCGCCTAATACTTCGAAAACTAGGCACCATGTAACACACCAAATTTGTGAACTATATTTTACCCCGTCAAACAAGTGAACCTACATTTACCGAAGCGGTTAAACTTCTTACAGAACTTTTTAGCCCTAAAACTTCACTTTTTCATAAGAGATGGAAGTATATGAATTTAACCAGTAATGATAGTGACGATTATAGTACAATCGCGTCGGTCGTGAACAAGCATTGCGACAATTTTAAACTGTCAGAAGTGAGTTCGAATAATTTCAAGTGTCTGATATTTGTTCAGGGACTCGTTTCCTCTAAAGACGCTGAAATTAGACGTAGAGTTCTGAACAAGTTGGAAAACAAGCCAAACCTTACTCCCCAGCAAATAACTGAAGACTGTTAGAGATTCGTAAGCTTACGACAAGATTCGAAAAACATTGAGGAATCTGGCATAGCACACATAAGTTACTCTAAAAGAAAAACCAATCAAATTCTCCCTCTAAATCAAACCAGTCCAAAAAGAAACAAGACAACATGCCTTCTAACCCATGTTCTGGTTGTGGGTCACTACACTGATATAAGGTTTGCCCTTACCGGAATAAAAGTGCTTAACTTGTAACCGTATCTGGCACAAGAGCTCACACTGCCGAGGGAGACAAAAAGGTTAATAGCTGCGTAAAAAAACAGATTTGACAATGAATTAATGTACACACTTGAAGAAATTTGGGAAAACCAACCATGCTAAGATCTAATAAAATGGCCAGGTCCGTGACAGGGGGGAAAATCAAGTTTGAGGAAGAACTTATCCCAAATGTAACTTTTCATGGAAGGACGTCAAAACTAAAAATTTATGGATAAAAAGAACACAGAGAATTTATTTGGCACCGACTGGATTGAGAAATTTAAGTTGTGGAACATGCCAATTAATTCTTCATTTTGCCAAAAACTCGAAAACCTGACCACTGAGGAAAAATATTTAAAAGATTTAAAAGAAACTTTTCTGTTTCTTTTAAAGCGTTTTCATTGTCTTTCACTTCCAGTAACTTCTTTGCGTTTTAGTTTTTTTTTTCCTGGGGGCATTCGTCAATGTAATAAGGTGACGGCAAAATTCGAGTTAAAAGATGACATCCAGCCAGTGTTTAAGAAAAGAAGAAATGTGCCTTTCGCCTCTTTACCACAAATAAACGAAGAACTCGACAGACTAGAAAGAAACGGGGTCTTGTCGAAAATTGAGTACAGTCAATGGGCTTCACCGACTGTCTATGTGAAAAAGAAGTCAAAGGGGATCCGGGTTTGCGACGATTTCTCGACGGTGCCTAATTCTGTATTCAAAGATTATCCCTATCCTTTACCGAACCCGGAAGAAATTTTCGCAAAACTAAATGGAGGAATTTTTTTTTCAAAAATTGACGTCGGTGAAGCATATCTTCAAATACCGGTAAAGGAAGAATATTCTAAGTTGCTCTGTATCAACACCCATCGTGGTTCGTACAACATCTACCTTTTGGGATCAAGGACGCGCCGGCAGTTTTCCAACAAGTAATGGACATGATGCTGAGCGGTCTTGACTTCGCGGTTGAGGACGACATATTAATAAACAGCCAAAATGTAGAACAACACAAGGAACATGTCCATAAAGTCTTCTCAAGAATTCAGGAATACTGGTTCAAATTGAAAGAATCAAAATGCGACGTCTTTATGGAGAAGATTAAATACTTGGGGCACATTATCGACAAAGAAGGCAGAAGGCCAGGCCCAGAACAGGCTACCGCAATCAAGGACATGCCAGCTCCTGAAAATGTCTCTTCATTCCAGCTTTTTTAGGATTGGCAAACTACTACCAAGTGTTTATATCTAATCTACACAACTTACGTGATCCTTTAAACGAACTTCTGAAAAAGGACAAGGACTTGGAGTGGACACTTGAATTACAGGAAGCATTCGTCAAAATAAAAGAAGTCTTGACATCGGACTGGCTTCTCCCTCACTATAAGCCAGACCTGGATATTAGTTGCCAGCTCGTATGGCATTGGAGCATGTCTTCTGCACAAGATGCCAGATGGATCTCACAAAACAGTTGCTCACGCGTCGAGAAGACTTCTTCCTGCAGAGAACAGCTACTCTCAAATTGAGGAGTCGTCGTTAGGGATTATTTTCGCAGTAACGAAATTTCGCTGGTACATTCACAGTAGACACTTTACATTTCAGATGGACCTATAAACCATTATTTACCATTTTCGGCTCTAAAAAAGGTCTGCCTGTGCATACAGAAAATAGACTACAGAGATGGGGAACAATTCGTTTAAATTATAATTTCGAGAGAGAGTTCTTACCGTCTAAAAACTGTCATGTCAACGGAGTATCCAGATCAATCCCGAAACTTAGGGAACCTCTTGAAGATACTCTGATTGCTTCTCTTCGAACAGAAGGAGAAATTAAAACCACATTATGCAACACAGTAAGGGAACTCCTTGTAACTCTCGACCAAATCAAACGAGACGCTCTAAACGATGAGTTTATCAGGCAAACCAAAATCAAAATACGTGAAAAGAGCCAACAGACTTCAGATATTTTCTCCCTATGCGATGAACTACTGCTATATAGTGAGCGAATCGCCATTCCCACAACGCTACAAAGAAGAATTTTAAAAGAGTTCCGTGTTGTCTATCAAGGGATTTCAACGACGAAAAGCCTTATGTGCAGTTATGTATACTGGCCGAACATAGACAAGAATATCTGAAACATCGTAAAATCCTGTAAAGACTTAGCCTTGGCAGCTAAGGCACCCCTAATCAAATATAATCCTTGGCCTGAAGCGGGACCGGCCATGGTCCCGAATAAATGTAGATGGATTCCACTATCTCAAAGTAGTAGATAGATTTTCGAATCGGCCCAAAGTTCTTAGTTTCTTAGAAAACCCTCTACAGTGGTTACAATCAATTTTCTCAACGAAAGTAAGTCTCGTATCTTCTCTCTGTCGACTGTTTTTAAAATCACATCCACTCGGTCATCACACGCACACACACACACATGCTTCAGTAGAGCGTACTTCACTCTCACACACACATTGGCGTACATATCACTTCGAATTTTGTAGACTCACTTGCAACAAATCATTTCGAACAATCGAACTGTTGATCTCTTCATTGCCACAACAAAAAAAACATTGATTTTCAACATGTTGTAGTGTTGTATGTAGAAAAATCATCGCTGACATACGTGTCATTGTTGTTAATCGACGCTGGTGTAGTTCGCTGGCCTTTCTGTTTCAGATCTGGTCGCTGACTGTGTTTGACAGCCGCTTCTATGACTTATGCAGAGTCGGTGACAGGCTCACGAATCCTATCTGAGTTTTGCGCGGGAACGTATACATTAAGCTAATCCCTGACCGATTTCCAGGTCATTTCGAGCTCATGACATCTCCGATCTAATCAGATTTCAGAAACCAATTATTTAATTTTTGCTATGAGTTTGTACGGAATTGTAACATTTTTTCTATTGAATTTAGCAGGATTTATTTGTAGGCGCCTCTAGATAGATAGATAGATAGATAGATAGATAGATAGATGTGGACACAGATTAAGACAGCTATAAGCTTTCTTAGAAAGAAACAAAGAAAGAAACAAAGAAACAAAGAAAGAAAAAAAGAAAGAAAGAATCAGGAATAGATAGATAGATAGATAGATAGATAGATAGATAGATATGAACAGACATGATGATTAAGACAGCTATAAGTTTCTTACAACGAAAGAAAGAAATCTTAATTATGATTTTATTAGACAAAGTGTTTTCCCAATGAAATTGCTACTAGCCAACCAATTTTGATAAGGTTCTCAGGATATATTTATATTTACACGGGCAATATATCTTGTGGCTTTCAGTTTTTAAGATCTATCCTGATAAAAAATATTGATAATAATTTATTTTGGGGGAAATAAACAGGTTTTATTATGAAAACAAAATGTAACATAATTTTTATTTATGAATACATCTTAAAGATAAGGACCACAAAACTTATTTGATTAACAAAATATCGCAGATACTAAAATAAATATTATTTTATAGGTTAATATGGTCTCCTTGACATTCTACAACATTCATCAGTCAGTATCTGTCTATATTTCTGAAATAAATACAATATGGGAACCAGTAATAAGGAGTGCCAGAGAAAAGCATTAGTAACAACAAAAATTGCAATATGAGCTCTGGTAAAAACATTAAATGATAACAGCAAAAACTGCAATATGAGCACTGGTAAAAAATGGTTGCTGAAAACATTAGGTTTATAATATTTAAAAATTCATGGTACAGTGGATAAAGGCGTTAGTTAGATCCCGTGACCGGACCCAAAGTGTGTGAGTTCAATACCCGGTTAAGTCAATGGAGAACTTGGAGAGGGGAATTAACAGGAGATAACTGACAACTTACATACATTAAACATGGTACGTGGAACTGGAACAGTCTACCCCAATGAGCGAAATTCGACATTCCAACCACCTGAAGAAGGCCGGAGCGTACAACGGCCGAAACGTTGTAATAAATATGGCGACAAAGATGAGGACAATAGTCCGAATAATGTAAATAGTATTCATCAGTCAGTTATTGAAGTCAGCTGATTGACAACAACCTCATACCCTATTAATCAATTCAACCCAAGAAAGGAGATAATGCCACTAAAACGCAAAGGGGTTACTGAAAGTGAAAGAGAATGAAAATGCTTTAAAAGAAACAAAAAAAATAAATTTCACAGTTTAGGCGGAGACGTTAGAAGTATAGAGTTAAAGTAGAATTTCGAAGGAACCGGAAACCCAATCCTAAACATGAAGCAAAGGATAAGAATCTACACGTGTACAAAAAGCCGGGGAGGAGTGTGAACCTGAAGATGAATGTATCGATTCCTATTGTTGAGAAAAAAATAAAATAAAAAATAAATAAATAGTTAAAATTTCAGAGTTTAGGAGGATACCTTAGAATTATAGAGTTGAAATAGTATTTAGAGTGACCCGGAAAGCCACCCCTAAACAAAGAACAAAGGATTAACCTCGACTCGTGTTCAAAAGACCTGGGAGCAGTGTGAACCGGGCGATAGGCGAACGTATCTATTCCTAAGTAGAAGAGTATATAATAATGAGATAATCATGATGTTGACGGTCTAGGCTAGCTTAAACAAATGTTAGAAAGGAAATTCCTATCAATATAAGAAAGATAACAGTGCACGTATAAGTCTGTTTTCTTGAAAACCTCTTTCGAGAGAAAGATGTTATAAATTTCAACCGACAGTAACTCTTTTCTCTACCTATAGAGACATGAACACATATATATATATAGAGAGAGAGCGAAAGAGTGAGTCAGATTATTCCCTCCCTGAATCTTTCTTGCTCCCTTTCTTGATCTCTCTTTGCTTATAAGTTGTGCTTGAGGTAATTTTGTTAAACACCAAAAGACACTCAGTTCAGTATCTTTTGATACATGACTGACGAGGCAGATTTTTTCCCGCAGTAGATTGCCATTTCTTTCTGCGGTAAACCAGTTGCCATCCAAGGTTATAGAACCAGGTCTGTCCTGCTATTTACCCATAAGCTGGGTGGGGAAGGAGAATTCATACTTTTCCCAAGGGTATTAGCACGTAAGTGAATATAATGGATTTGACTGGAAAGTCAGTCAGTTATGTGCCATGCGTGATAAACTCTTAGGCGATCATGTATCTTTTGATACATGACTGAGGAGGCAGATTTTTTCGCGCAGTAGGTTGCCATTTCGTTCTGCGGTAGACCAGTTGTCATCTAAGTCTATAGAACCCTGTCTTTCCTGCTATTTACCCATAGCTGGCGGGGGTGTTTTAGAAGAAGATTCATATCTTTCCCAAGGATATTAGCACATAAGTGGATATAATGGATTTGACTGGGAAATCAATCAGTTAGTTATATGCCATGTATGATACACGCTTAGGCGATGATGTCTCGATACATGACTGACGGATTTTTTCGCGCAGTAGATTGCCATTTCGTTCTACGGTAGACCAGTTGCCATCCAAGGCTATAGAACCCGGTCTGTCCTACTATTTATTCCATATGCTGGCAGGAGAAGAGGATTCATACCTTTCCCAAGGGTTTTAGCACGTAAGTGAATGTAATGGATTCGACTGGAATTCGAACTCGGCTCTCCGATTCCTCAATCCGTATCGCTATCCATTACTCCACTGTGTCTCCTCCAAAAGACACTGCCACACCCAAATATTAATTTAAAAACTCGTCATATTCTTATATAGCTTCGTCAGATCTAGACTTCCCCATGGATGTCATGGATGGAGCCCAACCCGTTCAGAAATGTCTACATATCTGCATGCAACCGTCTACTTATATCAATGATTAAAAATACTGGGTGTCCCTAATGTCTGCAGACTTAGAAAATCTCATTAGCTATATTTTTTTTACCTACACTCATTAAACATGGTCTTGTCGGAAGAAGAAAGAATTGACTTCCTTTTCTGGGATACGCTAAAGGAGAAGGTGTACTCAATGAAGACTACAGATGCAACACACTTGATTAAACGCATAAAGAGTTAATGTGCTAAAATTAACGGTAATGTTGAATTATTGCATCGAGATCACATAAATTTTGCAAAGCGCATCAACCTTTGCATCACAAATGATGGAAACCATATTGAAGATGTTATTTTTTATTATTCCAGTTCAATAAAATGTCGTTGAAAAATTTAATTCTTGAAAATATGCATTTTTGCCTGTGTGTCCAGATTTTAGAGACATCCTGTATATTCAAGCGAATGAATAGAATAGACTTTTCAAAAGGACTGTCTTTTGCCGGATCACGTTGACTGGAGCTAGGAAGCCCCAGACAAAGAACTTTACAAAAGGACAAAAACATCACTTGAACTATAAAATGGAAAGAAAATAAAGAAAGAAGGAGGTTTACATAGATAGATAGATAGATAGATAGATAGATAGATAGATAGATAGATAGATAGATAGATAGATTTTTTTTTTTCAATACAGCCACTAAGACGATTACTGAGAATATGAGGAAAAAACATTGTTATGGGGCGAGAACAATAAAAGAACAGAAATTAGGAAGACAGAAGATAACGATTGACATTACATTTATATTTTTGAAGATCGAAGTTGACTCGGAAGCAAGAAGCTGGAGAAGATTTCCACAAGCGAGAAGTGCAATAGAAGAAACTGTTAGCATAGAACTTACGGTTACATCTAGCCATTTCAACAGTAAAATGATGAGACCTTGCCTCCAATCGAGTACTGCGCTAAAATTCATAAAGTCTGGCTATCATAAAGGAAATTTCATCCGAACTATTATCCTAGTATTTATAGAAAAGGCAAAGGGAAGCTTCGATACATTCGATGGGAATATGACTGAAGACGAGATGCCAGGTTAGGACCATTAACATTGCATATTCTTCTTTGTATTTTATCAAGAATCTCTAAATATATAGAAGAATCACTAGACAAGATGTAACAGACATATTTAATGCGTGAATGAACAGTAGACTTATAGATATGTTAGATACATTCTTCTTTGTATTTTATCAAGAATGTCTAAACATGTAGACGGAGCACCAGACTGTATGTGGTAGCAATATTCAATGCATGAACGAATGGATAGACTTATAAATATGTAAGATAGATTCTTCTTTGTATTTTATCAAGAATCTCTAAATATATACAAGAAGTACCAGACCAGATATAACAGCCATATTCAATGCATGAACGAATGGATACACTTATAAATATGTAAGATAGATTCTTCTTTGAATTTTATCAAGAATGTCTAAACATGTAGAAGGATCGACAGACCAGATGTAATAGCCATATTCAATGTATGAACGAATGGTAGACTTATAAATATGTAAGATAGATTCTGGCGCGAAAGATTGTTTAGCACAACACGGTGAACCAACTTTACTAGTAATTGATTCATTTGAATTTCCATACGATTGCCGATGGAGCTTTGAGAAATTGTGTGATCGTTCCCAGGGTTCAGGTGATTCCTTGGGAATGAGAATCAATCTGAAATTTCATACCATTTTTTTTTTTTTTTTTTTTGTCGTCTGGAGTCATGTTTCTCTGCTGGTTTTCAATTACCATCTTTGCTCATATTCTGGAACTTTATCGAAACAATCTTGGCTAGAATTAAGTGAAAGTTAGAATTTTTCCAAACCAAAAAGTTATGATTGACCGAACATATTCTCATTACACACTCTCTCTCTCTCTCTCTCTCTCTCGCTCGCTCTCTCGCTCTCTCTCTCTCTCTCTCTCTCTCTTCACTTCTCTCTGTTTCTCTCTATCCTTATTTCTCGTTCCTTCTCTTTCTCTTCTTATAGATACACAAACAACTACTGAGCGAGAGAAAGAGAGAAACTCATTATAATCCCCTCTCTTCCTGTTTCTTGTTCTCACTCTTTATCTCTCTATATTTATAATGTGTGCTCGGGATAATTACTTCTGTCCAACACTAATGCTACTAAAAAATCAAGACATTAGCCTAAGAATTCGAATCCTGTTCTTAAATGGTCTCTTTATATCGAGGCACGCATATCGATGCCATGCTTGTCATCCAGTTTGTTTAAAAGTGTCTAAATTATCATACACATATATTTTTAAGATAGATACAAATATTTAAGTAAATGCCTTGTTTATAACAAACAGTATTAACTATATTTACCAGCTTGAATGTCCGAGAGAAAAATGCCTGTATGCCACACACATTGTTGTGACACTCTCCGAAAACCTTGATGCAATTCAGTTGCATCTGTTTCATACATGCTTTTATATCAGACAGCATTTTACCAAACTTCTGCTGCTCTCTGTAACAAAACATTAAACTATTATGGGTTATTGTCAGGAAGGTTCACCCTCTTCTGCTATAAACCCATTACCCACTTCTGATGCCTATGATCAACAAAGAAATACAAGGTATTACTTTCAGAGTTACATGTCTAGATGTGTGCACATGATGTATTGAAGGAAAAAATCAACATAAAGTTTAAATGAGTAACAAATAGGAAAACCTTTCTAATTTTGACATGTTTTGTTACTTTTATTGTAGATTTGTCAGAAATTTTTGAAGCGATGCCTGTCAAATTTATAAAGGTTTTCCTAATTGTTCCTTATTTGAGCACACACACACACACACATACACACACACACGCACACATATATATATATATATATATATATATATATATATATATATATATATTTATATTCCTTTATTTTTATAGATAAAAATATTAAAGTAAATGCTATAATTATAATAAATAGTATAAAGAACATTTTCCGGCCTGAATGTACAAGAAATTTTCATAGTAAATATGTGTCCTTCGACAGGAATCGAACCTGTATCCTACACGGACAAAAAAAATTATTGTCGGACTTTGTCCATTTCGTAATATATGCAATGAATAAATTGACGTCCAAATTACGCAAAAAGGAAAATAACACTGACATATTATTTTAACAGATATATTTACCAAAATTACACAAATATATCTTGAAATACTAAAAAGAAAATTTATTCAATAAAATCGCCATTGGCTTCAACCACGGCCTCCAGACGACTTCGGAATCTCCTGCAACTCTTCTGGGCGGTCTCCTTGTTTAAGTTGGTGAATGCTGCCATAATCCTTGTCTTCAGTTCAGCTTTCGTGTTACAAGGAGATTTGTAGGTCTCTCGCTCAACTGCGACCCACACATAATAATCAAGGGAGTTGCAGTCTGGGGAGTTAGGTGGCTAGAGGCAAAGATGTGGTCGCAGAAATTGTCTGACAGCCATGACTAGGTTCTCCTGCTTGTGTGTCATGGTGCAGAGTCCTGTCGCCAGATATAGGGTCTTCCAGCAGCCACCCAGCAACAACCCAGCAGCCACCCTCTTGAATCAGGGCAGCACTACCTCCTCAAGGCACTTGATGTAGGCCTCCATGTTGAGTCTGAGGGTATCACCAACACCATTCGGATTCGTATCAGAACGAAGTGAGTTTTCCGAGCTGCCATATTTTCGTAACCTTTCCGATTCCTCTACAATCTCCTCAGATTGACACCCAAAATCTCTGAAATGTTCGTATTGGAGCTTCCGGTGCGAATGCCAAGCAGCACAGGATGCTATTTCCAAATTTCTGATGGAGTGAATTGTGTCATGGTGCTCTTTTTCCCACAGACGTTACCCAAGTGACCCTACTATACTGTATAGTCAACAAAATAAAAATAAAAAAACAACGCGCATGCCCGAAATTAAAAATATGAAATGGCGGCAATTCACTCCTCGCACCGTGTAGAACCGTTTTCCCACTTCAATGTCTTCAAGCGAATGAACGCTGTGGGCTTTGAAGTGTTCCCAGATCGGATCTTGTGCACTGGTGCTACGGAATCTCGAAGACCTTTCCCAAATAACAGAAACCACATGACTTGATGAAATGAAATAGCTAGCGCATGTTATCACGAAGATAAAATAATGAGATTATCAAGATGCTGACTTTCCACATGACCTTAAACAAAAGCTTAGGAAGGAAAATACCATCAATACTAGAAAGGATAACACAGTGTGTGTTTAATGTATACAGTGATGGAAATATCCCTTGTAAGAAAAAAATTAGCAACAGAACGACAAAAACGGCGAAGACAGAACCTTTTTCAATACCAAATTGAAGATGATTACTTAATAGAAAAATGTACCCGAATGCCTCACATGAAAGGCTTGAACAAATAAGACTGCAATCAAAGAAACGTGGGAGTAAAAGAACTGATTAATTAAACGGTTCATTTTGCTTGGAAAATGTTATTGCCTAAATGCAGGTAAATCTTTTATATGTATAGATTAATAAATTAACTAAGGGATGTAATCACTCATACATTTAATAACTAAAGTTGATTTACCTCCCTTGTCATTAGAGATAAGAGAGGAAATATATAAAGAAACACATATCTGATAACTATTATATGGTACGATATATATATATATATATATATATATATATATATATATATATATATATATATATATATATATATATATATATAAAACATGCACTAATGAAAAATGGATATAAAAAGAAAATCCACAAGCATAAGCATCCCATTGCTGTTATCAGCGGACGAGTGGACGGAGTGATTCCCAGTGAATCTGCCTACGAAACTCTAGAGTCGGGATGTTGAAGATAACATCAATCAGCTAAGTGACAATAAACATTTTACTTGTATTAATTATACATATACATATGTGAATATTCTGATTATATGTAATTTTTATAGATATAATTTATGTTTAAGTTATTAACTAATGCTGTTTAATTAAATAAAAGAATTTATTTAAAATTAATTGTATCTATAAAAAAAACGTATAAGCAGAAATATGTTAAATAACTATCGAACTTAATCCATTTATATATATATATATATATATATATATATATATATATATATATATATATACCACCTACTCAGTCGCGTTTGTTTCTTTAACATGTATAGGGCTCACCTATGGTTTAAATTGCAATTTGTCGGTGTGAATCTTAAAGTGTAAAACTTAACATCAAAACTCTTTTTTTGCATGTTTTGTTGTATATATATATATATATATATATATATATATATATATATATGCTAAGATATAGTTTAAGATATGCTATATTTATGGGTTACAGTGCTTAATATCAGGAATCGAGCGTATGTAAATATAAAAGTCAGTAGACAGTATGTTTCATGCAAAACGCAATCGTCAGGCCAATATTTTGAGGGTTAATTCAAATGACATTGGAAAATAACGAACGCATTTATCTGACAAGCGAAGATTTTGAAGAAAGAAAGAAAGAAAGAAAGAAAGAAAGAAAGAAAGAAAGAAGAAAAGAAAGAAAGAAACACATGAATAAAAAAACTATTATGGTATCTGAAAGAAAAAAGAAGAAAACAAACACGTGAACAAAAGACACTATGGAATTAGAAAGAAAGAAAGAAAGAAAGAAAGAAAGAAAGAAAGAACGCAAAGAGGGAACAAAATTTGATAGAAAGAGATGCAGAGGGAGAGGTGGGAAAGAAACATAAGAACAGAATGAGATCGTGTGTATGTGAGAGAGAGAGGGAGAGAGAAATGAAAAGATTGTTATCAATGGAGATGAACAGAATGAAATACATATAGAGAGTCAGTGTAGTGAGTGAGGAACTCTCCGAAATAAAGAGAGAAAGAAAGACACGTGAGAAGACTGAGATAGATAGAAAGAAAGAAAGAAAGAAAGAAAGAAAGAAAGAAAGAAGAGCGGAGAAGGTAACCGCTAATGTGGAATTGGATGACGGACTAGATATACGTATCTACATTTGGCCATAATCTAAGACCTCTGAGGCCTGAGACCATGGCCAATTGTAGACACGTCAGGAAGTTAACTTTGGGGTTATATGAACCTGGATAAAGTTGTAAAAAATGTTTTCCTTCTTTTCACTTTATTTTCAATTTTTTTTTTTTTTCATTCCCTTTCATTTATTCTACTGCAACTCTCACCATTATTTCCGGTGTTAAATGAAGGCAATTAAGTTCTTGCGTTGCCTCTGATCGATTTGACTGAACAAACTAGCAGACGAGACCTGGCGAACGAAAGTGCGATAGTGTTCCGGTCAGCGTTCTTGCCTTTTTAAGATATTAAATCGCTCTGCAAATTTCATTTTCCTACTTACAATTCAGCGCATTTTAACAAATATTTCAATGTTTGTTTATTTCGGCGTGTATATATATATATATATATATATATATATATATATATATATATATATATATATATATAACATCCACAGACAGACTGTTTCGCCGTTTACAGCTCATCAGAAACCCGACTGAATTGGTGTCAGTCGGAGATTCTAACCATTAAGCCGTCGGCGCACGGTAGGGTTGAAAGTGAATTTTTTAGCGTATTTATTTTTAGAAACACGCCCAGAGTGCTATATATATATATATATATATATATATATATATATATATATATATATATATATATACTAGCAGCATGGCCTGGTGTTGCCTGTGCTTCATTCAAAAATCGTACGACTCATACACCAACCGCTATCACTTGACTTAAAATATTTTGCCCTTCCTTTGCCGTGATGATGTTGCTACATACCTTACTTCTTGCCTGTCTCACACTGCGAATTTTTTCTAAGCTCTATACTAAACATTAAATCTGTTACAAAAAAAAGAACTAAACAAAATGAACACAAAACGATCAGCTTTAAAAAAGGACTCGTAACTGGAAAAGCCGAATGAAAAAAGAATGTTAACAACAAATACTTTTTCACACCCAACCCAGTTCTGCGGAATCAGAATCAACGTTGAGTTTAAGCAAGCGAATGAGCCAATTGGTGTAAAGTGCTATGCAGATTTAAATTTTTCCCACTTGTAACGAATGTAGATATCGATTTATTTTGCATGCTAACACGCTAGTTAACATTCGTGTCAGTCAGCTATTGGCTCTCACGCTGGCCATTAGAATCTTCCTGCCTATTCGTGGCAGCCAGCTATAGGCTCTCACTCTGGCCAGTAGAAAACGGCCGCAAACTACATGAAAACTGCCGTAGAAACATGAAAAATTGATCGATGGGAGTTGGGAAATGCAAAGTCAGTCTTGGCCTTCCTGCTAACTTGTAGCAGGTGCATGTAAATTTTGGTGCAAATCCGTCGAGAATTGCGGCCGTGCATTCGTTATACGCATACACATACATCCTGCCTTTTATAGATAGAGATTTTTTAAAAATTAAAGTAATTCTATTGCATTTATCTGTTTTAAAAGAAGTATAGTCTATTAATAATTAGAATTAGGAATAATATTTTAAAATTTTAGTTCAATACGACGTACTCACATACAAAAAATCCTTTTAGAAAAAATCTTTATGTATACAATTACAAATTTAACGGCGAAACAAAAGTGCCGAAAACCTTTTTGTCGTTGATAAAGACCAGACGACATGCGATGAACAGATGTCATCATTCGTTGAACAGGCACCCCTACCCTACCTAAACTTAACCTCTTTTCGAAAGTAACTCATATTTTGATACAATAGTTGTCAGTGAAAATGAATAACCTACCACCCCTTGTCAAAATGATTGAATTTCTCCGTATCCTTAGAAACTAATATTATGAATGTATGTGCTTATAAAACTCAGTAAAGTTCAAAATAAGTTATTCCAAAATTCGCTTGAAGATGAAACAAAACTAATGCTTTTAATTTAATTATATAATTAAAATTGAAGTTTTAGCTTCAGTTTTTGAAACATGGTAATTCCTGTGTAGCGAAGGAACCATAGTTTTAAATCAGTTAATTTATAATATTTATGCTCTGTAAATTTACATTGAGCACTGTTTTGTAAAAGTAAAAAATATCAGTAAAAATAGCGGATTATATATCTTACAGTTCTTTTTTTTTTATATATATATATATATATATATATATATATATATATATATATATATATATATCGCGATACAGAAAATTTCCATATTTCAAAAAAAGTGAAACTAAATTTATAAATTTAATTAAATTAAATAATTCAATTAAATAAAAATTAAACTTTTCTCGAGAGCCGCTTTTTTAAATCTTACTGTTTTTTCTTATTTTTTTAATACATATATATATATATATATATATATATATATATATATATATATATATATATATATATATATATATATATTAATTCAATAACCAGGTAGGCAAACGACTGGCTACTACTTTAGCTTTCATGTGTTTCTACACAATCTTCTGGCAACCTGAATTAGTAAGTTTATAATATTTATGCTCTGTAGATTTGCATTGAGCACTGTTTTGTAAAAATAAAATAATTAATAAGAACACAGGATTATATATCTTACTGTTCTTTCTTTTTATTATATATATATATATATATATATATATATATATATATATATATATATATATATATGTTGAAGCTTGAATAAGCATGGAATAATAATAATACAACACAAAATGTACGTAACAAAATGTATTGAAACAATGAAAAAGGTACACAATATTTACAGGTAGTTTTGGTATATTCTTGGGAAGACTGTTCCTGCAGAATGGGTTGACTAAGTCGCAGTCAGGCAGAGTCTCTGGATTCGATCTCTTAATCTTCCGTCGTCTTCCGGTACCAACCCATATTTATATGGTCGGTACTCCACTTATGTAAATTAGGTGTATCATACACAACAATATATATATATATATATATACAGGGTGCATTAGAAATACTTTTACAAACTTTGGAGGCGCGTTTCTCACACCAAAACAAGGAAGTTTACGGTACATGGTACTGTGATGCCATGTTACATTTCTCATTCGTGTACATTTGTGTCTAATCTCTCTTCAACGTTTAACGTGTATCGTAGTGAGTTAACTTAGAAGTGTTGAGTTTAACAATGGCAGGATATTCAAATCCTGAGTCGGCAGATTTTTACATATGGCCGCGCGAATGTTAATGGACGCGAGGCAGCACGGCTGTATCAGATTTCCAGACCGAAAGCAGCTGAGTCCTACAACCTTTGCTGCTGTTTATCGTCACGCTGCTGAAACAGAATCCGTGGCACCACAAACTATGGCAATAAGTATCTTTTGATTGTGCATTTAACAGCGTCTACCGTAAGCTTTAGACCTAATATCTCAAAAGCGAAGGATTTGCAGGCATATGTTTATGTGGACTTTTGTCCTTGTTTTAGCGTGAGGAACCTACCTACCTAACTACCTATATATATATATATATATATATATATATATATATATATATATATATAAAAAAATACATACGTATTCTGACTTAAACACAAGTTTCTAGATGTCGGGTCCCAGATGCGCCATTAACGGCGTAATAATAGGACGAGGCGAATTGTCAATTACCAATATGGTGGCAGGCAAATCGGAGCGCGTCTCCGGTGACACACAGCTCGTCTAATCCAGATGCTGATCGTTCTGTTGAAAAGCCCGACATACGAATGTCGTAAAAAGATATCAGGGAACGGACGCTACAAGTACATGGCGCGTTTGGAATGTCGGAAAGACTTGTAAACAACAAAGTGTCAGAAATCGACGCAAACTATGAGACATCCCTTCCTTTGTGTACAATATATAGAATTATAAATTTTAGAACCTCTCAACATCTTTATATGAAAAGGTATGTACGTGTACACGCACATACACACACACATGTATCTAAGTATGTATATACACTCCTGTTCAAAATCTTAAGACCAGACACAAAAGGGTTAAAAAAAATATATGTTATACTGTTACTTTAATGGAACTCTATTTGCAAAACATTTACATTAAATTAGAAAATGTAGTTTATCAACAAACAAGTGAAAATTTTAAGCTTTTAATTTATTAATTTAAACAAACATTGAAAAAAGAATTTTTTTTTTTTTTTGGTTGGACATAAAGATAAGACCATGCGTGAAAAAAATAAATTTGTTTACATTTGATACGCCAGAGCAGTTATGAATGTACGAGATTCATGGAAGATTGAAGTTTATAAGCAGTAAATTTGACCTTGTATACCGAACGCTCCTTTGTGGCCGATCGATTAAGGCACGTCAGCGTAAATGACGGTTCCATATAGGATGCAGGTTCGAATCCTGTCAAAGGACGAATATTTTCTATTTACTTAAATACTTGTATCTATAAAAAAAGAACGTTAAACATAAAAAATGTCTTTAATATATATATATATATACACACCTGGTCAAAATCTTAAGACCAGACACAAAAGGGCTAACAGATATAAAATACTGTTACTTTAATCAAAATAGATTTGCGAAATATTTACATTTAATTAGAAAATGTAGTTTATCAACAAACAAGTCTTTTTCTTCTTTCCACCCGCATTCCATATCTTCTTTCTTTCTTTCTATTTTCCATCTTCCTTCCTTTCTTTCCACCCACCTTTCTTTTCATCTTCTTTTCTCTCTTTCTATATTCTATCTCTCTTCTTTTCTTTTCTTTTTCCCTCTTCTTTCCACATTTCTGTTTTTCTTTTCTCTCTCTCACTTCCATTTCATCACTCTCTTTATTTTTATATATCACTTTCTCTCTTGCTATCTATCTATCTATCTATATATATATATCTTCCATCTCTCTCTCCCCCTTTCATTTCTCCCGGATTTAATTCTTATTTTCTCTCTCTCTCTCTCTTTTTCTCTCTCTCTGTATATATATATATATATATATATATATATATATATATATATATATATATATATATATATATTTCTTCCATCTCTCTTCTCTACCTTCTTACAAAACAAAAGGGTTAAAAATATAAAATACTGTTACTGCTACGTAATGATGCGACTGCTTGGATATTCTTTAAAACTCTTGAATCTCGGCCTGATTGAACCTTGACTCGGATGCTGAGAGCTATGAACTTAACACCACTTGGAAGCAACATCCAACTAAATCAAAGCTCTATTGACCAATCGCTGATATTTTTAGAAGCTTACTCGAACGCAGAATGCGCTTTTGCAGGACACTGCTGGCGAGTAAATCAAGAACTTGCGAGATCTAATACTCTGGGTACCTAGCCAGGGAGTACCTCCTGTTGGTTACCCAGAAATCACCTACATTAACCACCTATGTTATGACATAGAATGCCATCCTAATGGCCTTCGAGACCTTGATACAGCAGCGTGATAGTTGGCGTAATAGACTCATGAATGTCCGAGCTAACTCGACCAACAAAAGTTCTTTGTTTATGTTTATTTAACTTTTTCATTTTTCTTATTTCCAGGGGGAATTTGAACATGAATTGTCTGTTGAGTGCTTTCGACTTTCATACGCCAAAAAAGATTTTTTGTAAGTTCATCGGGTTGAGTCTTCTCTGTAATTTATTTATTTTTTCGAATGTCTCATCATCAGGCATTGTTGAATGTCCCGTCAGATTTTGTTTGTTTGAAAGACGCATTGAAAAATAAAATAGACGTTTCTAGGTAACAGTATCGACCGACAAAGCTCGCTTTATCATATATATATATATATATATATATATATATATATATATATAGTAGCGGCCATAATATAAGGAACGGAAACAACAAAATTTACATAATAGGATCACCTATAGGAGTTATTGAAAGACGAATGGGAGGGAATTACTGCTGATTTTTGCAAGAAATTAATTAGATCATGTGGTCGACGATGCAGAGAAGTCATTGAAAATAAGGGAATGTTTACCAAATATTATATTTTGTTGATATTTTATTAAAATCAACTATTAACAAGATCGTTCCTTATCTTTTGTCCAGTAGCTTATTTCTTTTGCTCCATTTAATCTTTATTTTTAAAAAAACTATTATGTAAATTTTTATAACTTTGTATAATATTTATGCATTACACCCTAATCTTTATTCGGTAAAAATTTCATTGCTAATCATGCATTACTTTTTAAGTAATACACATATTTATGTCTTTGTTGTTTCCATTCCTTATATTATGGCCGCTACTGTATATATATTGAAGAGCCGAATACAGAAAACTGGTGCACTACGTGCCACAAGGCCCTCAAACGACACTTCGCAGCTTTTGAATAGAGTTGTCCTTCTCTTAGATCAGTTGCCATTCAAGGCAGTCTGTCCTGCTATTTACCCATATCTGGAGCGAGAAGAAGGGGATTAATACCTTTCCCAAGGGGATTAGCATGTAAGTGAATGTAACAGATTCGATTGGAATTCGAAATCGGCTCTCCGCTTCCTTAGTCCGAGCCGCTATCAACTACACCGCCGTGCCTCCAAATAGTGTGACTCGTTCTGCACAAAGCCGTCACCACTATAATCAAATCATATATGCTAGTGTCTGGGCTGTCGGTTCCTAGGAACTGAGCTGCTTGAATCTCATACGTCAAATACGATGTGAGAGTCCACAAATATATATATATATATATATAAATATAGATATTAACAGAGTGAGATAGATAGAGAGCTAGATATTAACATAGTGAGATAGACAGATAGATATTAACATAGATAGATAGATAGATAGATAGATAGATAGATAGATAGATAGATATTAACATAGTGAGATAGAGAGAGAGAGAAAGATAGATATTAACATAGTGAGATAGAGAGATAGACAAATAGATATTAACAGATAGATAGATCGATAGATAGATAGATAGATAGATATTAACATAGTGAGATAGAGAGAGAGAGAGGGAGAAAGATAGATATTAATAGAGTGAGATAGATAGATAGAGAGATAGACAGATAGATATTAACAGAAGGATATAGATAGATAGATAGATAGATAGATAGATAGATAGATAGATAGATAGATAGATACGAACAGTCTAGAATAGACAGATAGATAAGTAGTGTGGATATAGAAATGATTACTGTATAGTGACTGCTAGTTTCCCTTTTTAAGCAAATGTCAGACGATGGTGATGGTCACTTAAGACATGAAATTGCCAGTCTACGTTCTTCTTTCCATGACAGCAATGTCTATCTCCAAAAAAGCCCTATTCGCAATACTGAACACTTTTCCTCCGTAATTATAGCAAATAATTTTATAATTTTACATATATATATATATATATATATATATATATATTTATATATATATATATATATATATATATATATATATATATATATATATATGGGGGGTTACGTAATTAAACGAGAAAACGTTCTCAAAGACAAGACCAGTGCGTACTACTCCTGAATCCCCACCCCCGACAGATTGGGGCCCCCAGGCAATGCTTTGTGACCCTCGCTATCTTATCAGCATTTGCTTTTTTTCCTACCTATATTTATATACGTTACAAATTAAACTAAGCCCAACAGAGTATTAAAGGAGGAAAAACTTTCGCGGATTTTGACGTCATTCTGGAGTCTTTGGTGCTGGTAATTTTTACATCAACCAAATTAATATCAATAATTAAAGCCATTTCTTTTAAATGTCATTTTCCTTAAAAGTCATGTTCCTTTACATTATCTGTGTAAGCTGCTATGATTTCTTGTGAAAGATAATGAACTGGTTTTCAATTTCTTTCTCGCCGTTTTAGAATTTGGAGTTTTCCTTCTCCTAAATTGGTTTCCAATCAAGGCTATAGAGCCCAGTTTATCCGGGCCAATAGCTAAAGAAATTATTGCCATAAGCACTTGTTTACTTGGTCATGTGATCAAAAATATCCCTTGGCCACTGTTTCATTTATTGAACCCCTCGGATATGTAATTATTTGGCAGCTCCCATCACCTCTAATATTTCGCGATATGTAGTAATGCGTTCAATGTTATTAATATCAAGATAGAATTGCTGAACTAATTGTATCCCGAGAAAAAGGAATGTGTTTGGCAGCGCCCATCTCCTCTCCATAAAACGGAGAAGAATTTCTGACTTAACTTAATTTTTTTTCCATTAGTGAGTTTGACTTTATAGCGAAGAAAACGGTGACTTACCTCGTCAAACCAAGCGACAGCGCGTCGCGTGTATCCTACGACGGAAAATGTGGCGAAAAAGAAAATTACCAAGCAGGAGGGCACGTATTCCGCATGACATGCTGAAGACGGAATATTTAAATTAAAAAACAAGTCCGTCGCGGGAGTCGCTATAAAAGTATTTTGATATGCAAAATACTGAACATCCTCTCCCAGCTGTCGACGAATGGAAAAAATGGTCGGCCAATAAAAGCAGTTGGTGTTCTCGAATCGGGGAGTTGGTGTATTTTGGCGAGTTGGTCAGTCAGTCGATGTCGGACGACCGGCTGATCGGTTGAACTCTCCGCCTTCGGGCGGGGAGGAACCCGAACGAGGCTACGCCGAAGGGCGGATTCTCTTTCGGGGAGGTAAACCGACTCTGAACACATTTATACGGGTTCAATGGGCATATTTTTGGCTGAGCCCACGGGCTCGCAGATCCCACGTTAAACCGGCCTTGTGCCACATGATGCCCTGGGGGGGGTGACTAAATATCGTTGGTGTATTTTGGCTACCGCGTTCGTTGGAGAGTGAGTTATTTTTCTGACTGTGTACGTGCATTGTGATTTGTGAGATAGTACCTATGAATCGAGTTTTCGGCATTTCTTTCTGCCCCCGATATTCGAGTCTGAACTTACAGTGATTTATTCTCTGCGTTGTGGAATTAATCTGCGACAAATATTTCTTTTCCTTTCAGAACGCTTACAGACTTGCTTATGTTTAGACCTTGGTGAAGACATTAACATACATTAAGACATATCGTATGGATGGCGGATTCATGTCTTTCTAAGACACTTGGATCGATGTCAACACAGGAATATTTGCGCCCTGGGTCTGACGATAAAATACATCCGACAGCAAGGCCTCTGGTCGGGAGGTTTTGAGAGGTGTGGAACCACCTCTTGATTACTGTTGTTACCAGATTCCCTCTGATCCGGGGTGGTGGTACCTGTTAACGTCTCAGCTATCGGCAAATAGTTCATCCAAAATCGTGTCAAAGTCCTATGAAAATATAAAAATATATTTTACAGTAAAAATACAAGCAATGCATTTTTTTAAAAAAAAAGATATCAGCAATATGTTTTTGAAAAAACAAATTACCAGCAATACTCTCGACAAAGAAACTTTTTACAAAAAATACGTCAATGAAACCTGATATACAAACTGATTTCTTGCAAAAAATACATATTCTATTCATACGAATTTATCCTAAAAAAATTTTGGCATTAAATAACCCATTGAGGTTGATATTTCCGTAAAACAAAATAAACCAAACCAGACTGTCTACAAACCCTCTTTACAAAAATATGTCAATTTAAAGTTGATCTACAAACTGATTTGTTACAAAGAACACATATTCTATTTATTCGAACTTATCCTAAAAGACCCGTCGGCATTAAATAACCCATTGAGGTTGATATACCGTAAAACAAAATAATCTAAAACAGGAATATTTGAACTCCAATCGCCTGTTCCATTTTTTGCATCGAAATTCATTGCACAATTGCCGACATTGTGCTCTGTGTTCGAGCCCATATATCAGCTCGCATTTAGAATGAAGATTTTTCAAACCAGAGAGAAACATTCTGCTTGGAAGATATGAGTAACATGATCTTCCTACACATTTAGTGCCGCTAAAAGTTTTGTGCCGTATGTTACTAATATTGCCACTGGGAATATATGCGCGTATGTAGTCAAATCACGTCTTCATAGATTCTCAGACGTAATCTTAAACATCTTCCAATTACACGCAAATAAAGTCTCGTACATTTTCCTCTGCGACGTATATTCTCGCGCCACTTAGCGAAAAAAAGTGGCGGCCATTTTTTGTTTGACTTAAGCTTTTTGCTCCAAAATGAGGCATCTTCATTGAAGGAAAGACAAGTGTATTTTCTTTTTTAAGATGAAGAGATCTTTACCGACCACCCATGAGGCCGGTCGGTTGGTGTAAAGGAGGCGAAGGTATGAAAGGCTTTTAAATGTTGGCCTGATGGATTCAACACTTTTTTTTTTTTGTTGTTGTTGTTGAGAGCAGGGAAGGAAATGTTTCCCACAGTTCGAAGCGGCCGAAGAATCCACTCATGGACGGAATTTAAAGAAATTAGTTTTGTTGTGATTGTAAATGGCTCAAAGAGGTAAAAAAAAAAGTAGGGGAGAAAACAAAATAAGATTAAAGCCTTCTCTCAAGACGAAATTTATAAACAATCAACACGAATATACACTTCATAAAAAGAATTTAAGTGTGTGAGCGTTGCTACATCAATTACAGCGCACATCTTATTCTATGTGCCGTGTCCCTTCAGGACGTTGGCGATTATGACTCTCCACAATTTCCCGTCCTTTGTAGCTCTTAATAACTTTTATCTTTTTGCCATCTCTCCTAAACACAACTCAGCTATCTATTTACCCAAACTTCAGATAGATGTTGTTTGTTTTCCTCTGACCCTATTACCTTCACTCTGTCCAGTGAGTATCATTTTTCCAAGCCTTCTTTCCTCCTTGACTCAGAGCTGCACTACATCCTCAAGGCACTTGATTTAGGCCTCGGCGTTGAGCCTGAAGCCTTGTGGGAAGGTGAACGGAGACATAACTTCGCCATTACCGGTGATCACTGCTAACACTATAATAATGTTTGATAGATCATCCAACTCTTTCCGAATACTCTGTACGGCCCATAGACCCAAACACTATGAAATATTCGTATAGGAGCTTCCGGCGCGAATGCCAAGCAGTACAGCATACTGTTTCCAAGTTTCTGGCGGAGTGGATTTTGTCATGGTGCTTTTTTTTTTCTCACAGACTGTGCCCAACTGACCCTACTATATTGGGCAGTCGAGAAAATCCGAAACAACGTGCAGACGCGAAATTAAAACTATAAAATGTTGAAAATCTACCCATTTTCACCCTGCATACTTTTGTATACCAGGGTAAAAAAATAGGCACTGTTATGATCAGAAAATGTTTTTACGGCTTATCAACCTTTTGCAGGTTATTTAAAGCCAAAATAATATTTTTAGATTGTAAAAATTTGGGGAAGATAATAAGGATCTGGTGATACAAATCATACTAATTAACCCATAGCTGGGGATGAAAAGTTAAATTGCATACATTTCCCAAGTGTATTTGCGCATAAGTCAATGTAACGAACCCGACTGGAATTGGAACTCGGTTCTTCGATTTCCACGTGCCAGCAGTTATCCATTACACCACCTGCACATCCAAGCTTACAGTACCACCTATCTAGGTACTGAACAGGCTCGAAATTGCTTAACTGTGGCGGTCGTGGTGTAAATCGATGTTTCAACGTGATGTGGCCATAGGCCCGAGTAGAAATTGATCGGATATTCTCATTGTATATTCGAAAAATCTTGTCAGAAAAATATGTCCTCCGAATTTCTCGAATATTCAGGCCGATAGATGTAGTTGGATAAAAATACTGTTTAATTAAAAGAAGAACTTCTACTTGGATATGAGTATCCATAAAAAATAACGATTAAACAAAATAAATTAAAAATAACAATAGATTTAACCTATTTCCTAAAAAAATTGTCTTTGTTTACATTGGAATACGTTGGATATTTGGCAGAGAGTGTGT